GCCCCCGCCCGGCGGTGGCTCTTGTTTCACTTTATACTATGTAGAAATTTTGTGAATGCAACTCCTCTTAAACCGGATGGCAGATTTTGCTTAAACTTCCAGGGATGACCAACCTTAATGTGTAGATGGAAGTTAAGGAAAGGAATTTTTGCTGCCACTAAATTTAACAGAATTATGGCCCTTTGTTGATTTTTAGTTTTCAACTTGTGGCACTGTGATGATGTAGTCCAAAAATATTTGACCTAGAGATTGACAAAACAGTGGCTGTGGGGGCATCCGTGTCCTATGGACACATTTCTAGTTTTAGTGAGTGTTAGCAAAGTTTGTTCAAATAAAATCCCTGGGGTCAAAATTTGCAGGCCCGAGGGTCATTGATTTTCTTCATATGCGTATAGTAAAAACTTTAAAAATCTTCTTTTAATAAAGTTAACCTAAAAAACTAGAGCTTAGATATTAAGCATGAAGCATGGAAGTTTCCTGCCCAGAAAAGAAAAAAATGGTTGGCTATTGTCAAGTCAGGTTGTTTTGCAATGCTAAAGTCACGTAGGCAATTAAGGGTGCAAATAAGTTGACTATAAAAGGGTTGAATATTTACAGAAATTAATTGCTTTATCAATAACATGATGACTTTGCAAAAACAGTCAGTGACTGCTGGAACAGTTTTTATATAATGCCACTATCCATCCTTTCTGATATTTTGGTTATATTTTTTAAATCATCCCTTTATAGAAAGTTCTTTGACTCAGGTTACAATTATTATGATTAAAGTAAAAATCTTTGTAAAATAAAGAAAACCTATGCTGTTTTCAGTTCTAGTTCTGATGATATTTTGAATTCTTCATTTACATTTTTATTATTATAATGTAAAACTCAGTGGGTTTTTTAATCCCTACTAAGCACAAAGTGCACAGATATGATCTTTCTGTGATTGCAGTGTGTCCACGGTACCTTAAGAGGTCTAATTAGCTAAAATTTGTTATGTTGTGGCATTCACCTGTACTTGTTTTCTGTACAAGTTTTCATATCATCTAGTTTTTTTACTGACATCTTTTTTATGGTTTTGCTTCTAAACCTGGTGTTGACCACCTGCATGTTGTATCAAAAAAGCATATTAATTTTACACAATTTATCATAAGTCATCTTGAACTGCCTTAAGAAAACAGATTGAAACAGATAAAAAAAAAACAGATTAAATTTATCAACTAGCAAATATAAGTCAGGTGATGTTAAGGCATGGTTCATGTTGAAGAATGTACCCAAGGCATTTCAGGGTAAAATATAACTTTGGACAAGGGAAAATAGCCTTTATTTGGCTAAGGATATATGAAAAAAAATCCCTGCATGTTTATAATTAAGGTACTATAAATAAACGAAAAGCATAATATTCATCTAAGGCATTTAGAAACAATTTGTTTTATTGGGACCATTATTAAAGATAAGAAAAAGCAATTTGTGCAATTTTTTAACTTCCATTCCAGCTAAGTTTCACAAAGACCCAAGTCTATTAATAGCTTCTTCTATAGTTAAGTATGCTTACAAATATTTATTTACATTTGAACTGTCAATTGGATTCACCCTTTTTGGTGCCCCTCTTATGATAAACTGTTAAAAAGAAATATAGTTATACTACTTTTGAGAAATATAAACACAAATTACAGTGCTAAATCTCAAATAAATAAATTCTTAATGCTACTTGCACTGTATGCAGACAATATTTTTTAGCTTTTACTGAAAACAGTGTCAAACAGTACCTTGTTGTCCTTTGCAAAAAAATGATTAATCATGCCACTTGGATCAGACTCTGCCCTACCAGGGAGTCTCTGAAAGTTCAATACCTAGAGCACAGATATTTGGCATGTAGCATCACCTTGTGTAGCTCCACAAAAGTTACACAAATCATGCCACTCAAAGGATAGTTGATATAGACTTTTAAAGGAAAACAATGTATATTTTCCTTGCAGACGTCTACAAATGTTTTATAGATCATGTCATTGTGAACAGAAATGAGTCACCCATTTTGAACTAATTACATCTGTTTTGAAGGATATATTGGTTTATATATATTTATTTAAGCTCGATTGCGAAACAAGTTCTTGCAACTTATATTAATCACTTTCGGGTCCACCTCCTGGATCCAACCATTTCTTGTGTCATATGAAGAAACATTGTCCTGACCCTATTAGGGCTTAAACCAATGATCCACGAAGGGTATATTGACCTTCCCTAGCAATCTAGCAATTGTAAGCAATCTAGGTTCTTTATGGCTCTCTTCTTATTATGCCCCCATTTCGAAGAAAAGGGGGTATATTGCTTTGCACTTGTCGGTCCGTAGACCAAATGGTTTCCGAGTGATAACTAAAGAACCCTTAGGCCTAGGAACTTCAAACTTGGTATGGTGATTGGTCATGACCAGTAGATGACCCCTATTGATTTTGGGGTCAAGAGGTCAAAGGTCAAGGTCACATTGACCTTGTAAGCAAAAACGGTTTCCGATCAATAACTAAAGAACCTTAAGGCCTAGGAACTTCAAACTTGGTATGGTGATTGGTCATGATCAGTAGATGACCCCTATTGATTTTGGGGTCAAGGGGTCAAAGGTCAAGGTCACATTGACCTCTTAGATAAAACAGTTTCCGATCAATAACTAAAGAACACTTAGGCCTAGGAACTTCAAACTTGGTATGGTGATTGGTCATGACAAGCAGATGACCCCTATTGATTTTGGGGTTAAGGGGTCAAAGGTCAAGGTCACATTGACCTTGTAAGCAAAAACGGTTTCCGATCAATAACTAAAGAACCTTAAAGCCTAGGAACTTCAAACTTGGTATGGTGATTGGTCATGACCAGTAGATGACCCCTATTGATTTTGGGGTCAAGGGGTCAAAGGTCAAGGTCACATTGACCTTGTAAGCAAAAACGGTTTTCGATCAATAACTAAAGAACCTTAAGGCCTAGGAACTTCAAACTTGGTATGGTGATTGGTCATGATCAGTAGATGACCCCTATTGATTTTGGGGTCAAGGGGTCAATGGTCAAGGTCACATTGACCTCTTGGGTAAAAACCGTTTCCGATCAAATACAAAAGAACCCTTAGGCGTAGGGACTTCAAACTTGATATGGTGATTGGTCATGATCAGTACATGACCCACATTGAGTTTTGGGGTCAAGGGGTCAAAGGTCAAGGTCACATTGACCTCTTAGATAAAAACGGTTTCCGATCAATAACTAAAGAACCCTTAGGCCTAGGAACTTTAAACTTGGTATGGTGATTGGTCATGACAAGCAGATGACCCCTATTGATTTTGGGGTCAAGGGGTCAAAGGTCAAGGTCACATTGACCTTGTAAGCAAAAACGGTTTCCGATCAATAACTAAAGAACCTTAAGGCCTAGGAACTTTAAACTTGGTATGGTGATTGGTCATGATCAGTAGATGACCCCTATTGATTTTGGGGTCAAGGGGTCAAAGGTCAAGGTCACATTGACCTTGTAAGCAAAAACGGTTTCTGATCAATAACTAAAGAACCTGAAGGCCTAGGAACTTCAAACTTGGTATGGTGATTGGTCATGATCAGTAGATGACCCCTATTGATTTTAGGGTCAAGGGGTCAAAGGTCAAGGTCACATTGACCTCTTGGGTAAAAACGGTTTCCGATCAATAACAAAAGAACCCTTAGGCGTAGGGACTTCAAACTTGACATGGTGATTGGTCATGATCAGTAGATGACCCCTATTGATTTTGGGGTCAAGGGGTCTAAGGTCAAGGTCACATTGACCTCTAAGGTAAAAACGGTTTCTGATCAATAACTAAAGAATCCTTAGGCCTAGGAACTTCAAACTTGGTATGGTGATTGGTCATGACAAGCAGATGACCCCTATTGATTTTGGGGTTAAGGGGTCAAAGGGCAAGGTCACATTGACCTTGTAGGTAAAAATGCTTTCCGATCAATAACTTAAGAACCCTTAGGCCTAGGAACTTCAAACTTGGTATGGTGATTGGTCATGACCAGCAGATGACCTATTGATTTTGGGGTCAAGGGGTCAAAGGTCAAGGTCACATTGACCTTGTAAGTAAAAACGGTTTCCGATCAATTAACTAAAAACGCTTAGGCCTAGGAACTTCAAACTTTGTATGATGATTGGTCGTGACCAGCAGATGACCCCTTTTGAGTTTTTGGTCAAAGGGTCAAAGGTCAAGGTCACATTGACCTTGTAAGTAAAAACGGTTTCTCATCAATAACTTAAGAACGCTTAGGCCTAGGAACTATAAACTTGGTATGGTGATTTGTCATGACCAGCAGATTACCCCTATTGATTTTTGGATCAAGGGGTCAAAGGTCAAGGTCACATTGACCTTGTAAGTAAAAATGGTTTCTGATCAATAACTAAAGAACGCTTCGGCCTAGGTACTCAAAACTTGGCATGGTGATTGGTCATGACCAGCAGATGATCCCTATTGATTTTGGGGTCAAAGGTCAAGGTCACATTGACCCTGTATGTTAAAACGGTTTCCGATCAATAATGAAAGGACACTTAGGCCTTGGAACTTCAAACTTGGCATGGTGATTGGTCATGACCAGCAGATGACCCCTATTGATTTTGGGGTCAAGGGGCCAAAGGTCAAGGTCACATTGACCTTGTTGGTAAAAACGGTTTCTGATCAATTTACTAAAAACGCTTAGGTCTAGGAACTTCAAACTTTGTATGATGATTGGTCGTGGCCAGCAGATGACCCCTATTGAGTTTTGGGTCAAGGGCTCAAAGGTCAAGGTCATGACCAGTAGATACTTGATAACCCTTATTAATTGTTTGATCACTGGGTCAGAAGTCATGCATAATAACCTTAGCACATGACTAATTGGCTGCTGATAGGGGGCATACATGTTTTACAAACATATCTTGTTACAATGCACATTTAACACAGTTCGGACCATTACCCAAACAAGATGTCTAGTATGACTGTGTTTTTCTTTCTTCAAAGCTTCTTTTATTATTTACACAGGTTGTGATGCCCAGAGGTCCAATCCAGGCTAAAGGACTGTTACTAAGTTGTATAAAAGAAGAAGATCCATGTATATTTTTTGAACCAAAGATTTTATATAGAGCAGCTATAGAAGAAGTACCCACCGGTGATTACACAATACCATTAGGCAAAGCTGAAGTTGTAATTGAAGGTAAATTTGAATTTTACAGATTATATTTTTTATGTCAATATAGTCAAATCCAAGTGGGTTTGTGACCACCTCTCCCCCAGTATCCACACACGAGATCTAGGTAATCCTTAACAGTACTTTTATTGACATATGACATTCACTGTGAACAACTGTGAGTTGTCTCCCTTCAAACACTAAATACTGATAAGACAGCAGCTGCTGTTGTCACTCCTCTGTTTTCCCCTGGTATTTGATATTTGAAATTACAATAACAATTTTTAGCTCACCTGTCACAAAGTGACAGGGTGAGCTTTTGTGATCGCTTTTTGTCCTGCTTCCGTCGTCCGTCCGTCGTCCGTAAACTTTTACTTTAAATGACATCTCCTCATAAACCACAAGGCCAATTTCATCCAAACTTCACAGGAATGTTCCTTTGGTGGTCACCTTTAAAAATTGTTCAAAGAATTTAATTCCATGCAGAACACTGGTTGCCATGGCAACCGAAAGAAAAAACTTTAAATATCTTCTTTTAAAAAACCATAAGAGCTAGAGCTTAGATATTTGGCATGAAACATCTTCTAGTGAGTGTCTACCAAGTTTGTTCAAATAAAAGCCCTGGGGTCAAAATTGGCCCCGCCCCGGGGGGTCATTGATTTTCCCTATATGCATGTAGTAAAAACTTAAAAATTCTTCTTTTAAAGAACTCAAAGAGCTATGGCTAAGATATTGAGCATCAAACATGTTCTAATAGGTGTCTACCAAGTTTGTTCAAAGAAAAGCCCTGGGGTCAAAATTGGCCCCGCCCCAGGGGGTCATTGATTTTCCCTATATGCATATAGTAAAAACTTAAAAAATCTTCTTTTAAAGAACCAAAAGAGTTAGAGCTAAGATATTTAGCATGAAACATGTTCTTATAAGTGTCTACCAAGTTTGTTCAAATAAAAGCCCTGGGGTCAAAATTGACCCCGCCCCGGGGGTCATTTATTTTCCCAATATATGCATATAGTAAAAACTTAAAAAATCTTCTTTTAAAGAACTCAAAGAGCTATGGTTAAGATATTTAGCATCAAACATGTTCTAATAGGTGTCTACCAAGTTTGTTCAAATAAAAGGCCTGGGGTCAAAATTGGCCCCGCCCCAGGGGTCATAGATTTTCCTTATATGTGTATAGCAAAAACTTAAAAAATCTTTTTTGAAAAAACCCAAATAGCTAGAGTTAAGATATTAAGCATGAAACATCTTTTAGTGAGTGTCTACCAAGTTTGTTCAAATAAAAGACCTTGGGTCAAAATTGGCCCGCCCCGGGGTCATTGATTTTCCTTATATGTGTATAGCAAAAACTTAAAATCTTCTTTGAAAAAACCCAAATAGCTAGAGTTTAGATATTAAGCATGAAATATATTCTAGTAAGTGTCTACAAAGTTTGTTCAAATAAAAACCCTGGGGTCATAACTGGCCCGGCCCCAGGGGTGTCATTGTTTTTAACTATATGTGTATAGTAAAAACTTAAAAAAAATCTTCTTTTTAAATAGCCCAATAAGCTAGAGCTTAGATGTTTAGCATGAAACATCTTCTTATGGGTATCTACCAAGTTTGTGCAAATAAAAGCCCTTTGGTTAAATTGGCCCTGCAACGTTTGGGGGGGGGGGGGGGGCCTATATACAGGTGAGCGACCTCAGGGCCATCATGGCCCTCTTGTTTCTTCAATTTGATGACATTTTTGTTGTAGAATATCTTCATAAGGGGTATTTGGGAACAAGTTTTTGTAAATTAACACATATTGTACTTTAACAGAATAAAATGTTTAGGAACAAAATATTATTCTGCTATTTTGATAGGGTTTTTGCTCTCAAACGATGATTTCATGTATATGCCATTTGCTTTGAAGGCAATTTGAACTACATGTATCATACATGTATTTATTTAATACAAGCATTTTGGAAGATACAAGCATTTTGGAAGTATTCTTTTAAGCTCACCTGTCACAAAGTGACATGGGGAGCTTTTGTGATCACTTTTCCGGCGTCCGGCCGTAAACTTTTACTTTAAACAACATCTCCTTATAAACCCCTAAGCCAATTTTATCCAAACTTCACAGGAATGTTCCTTTGATAGTCAACTTTAAAGATTGTTCAAAGACAGAACTCTGGTTGTCATGGCAACCGAAAGAAAAAACTTTAAAAATCTTCTTTTAAAAAACCAAAAGAGCTAGAGCTTAAATATTTGGCATGAAACATTTGGCCCCGCCCCGTCATTGATTTTCCTTATTTGTATAATTATGTAGTAAAAACTTAAAAAAATCTTTTAAAAAACCCAAATAGCTAGAGCTTAGATATTACGCATGAAACATCTTCTAGTGGGTGTCTACCAAGTTTGTTCAAATAAAAGCCCTGGGGTCAAAATTGGCACCGCCCCGGCCAGGGGTCATTGTTTTTACTTTGATGTATTTAGTAAACACTTCAAAAAATCTTCTTTTAAAAAACCCTAAGAGATTGAGCTAAAATATTTAGCATGAAACATCTTCTGATGAGTGTCTACCAAGTTTGTTCAAATAAGGGCCCTTGGGTTAAAATTGGCCCTGACCCAGAGTTATTGATTTTCCTTATATGTGTATAGTAAAAACTATAAAAAAAATCTTCTTTTGAAAAAAAATGAAAGAGCTAGAGTTAAGATACTAAGCATGAAATATCTTCTAGTGAGTGTCTACCAAGTTTGTTCAAATAAAAGCCATGCGGTCAGAATTGGCCCAGCTTGGAGTGGGGGGTCATTGTTTTTCCCTATATGTGTATAGTGAAAACTTAAAAAAATTCCATGTAAAAATCCCAAAGAGCTAGAGCTTTAGATATTTATCAAGAAACATCTTCTAATGGGTGTCTACCAAATTTATTCAAATAAAATCCCCTGAGTCAAAATTGGCCCCATACAGGTGAGCGATCTCAGGGCCATCATGGCCCTCTTGTTTAAAATATAACAATAATTTTGTGGCAGATATATTAAGCTTTATACTTTTTAAGTACTGTTTAATTGATGCATAACATAACAAAACAAATGTCTTGGAAAAAGTGAAATACTATGAGCAGAATAATTTATCCACTGATTTGTTTTGACATGGCAGGACTTCAAATATTTTTTTCAAGATTAATGTTCCATTTGATGTAGGTCTAGACCAATAACTTGTTTGCAAAATTTCAGATCATTTTTCCAGAATTCATTTTGTGGAAGTTGACCCAAAATTGAAAAGCGTTACAACACTTTTCACTCAAATCTGATTAGTAATAGCACAAAAATACAAGTTATTTATTTCTGAGTATATGTCTTAATTATGTTTTGCATATGTTCCTTTTTTATGTGCCCCAGCTAATCGATGTAAGAAATTCAAATTTAAAAGGTACTCAACTGAGGTTTATAAGCCAAAAAACATAAAATTTTAATTTTTCACATAGATAAACATGAACACTAATTAAAACAGAAATATAACATGTATAAATAAAATTTAATGAAGAAATATATAGATCTACAAGAAATACATTGAAAATCATATGTTTGTGATATTCTCAGTCTGATTTAATGTGTGAAAAGCGTTTAAACGCTTTTCAATTTTGGGTCATTTTTCACTATTATAATAATGATTCTGGAAAAACGGAGCAACCAAATGATCAAAAATTTAGCACATAAGTTGTTGGTATAGATCTACATCAAATGATGTAATAATCTCAAAAAAAAGTTTTCAGTCCCGTCATGTAAAAAAACGTCAGTGGAGTCCCTTTAAGTCTTTAGGCTTTTTGATCTCAATAGAGTTCCTTTAATCTATTAAATAATTATATTTTTATGAAATTTCAACATGTATAATGATTTATATTATCAGATTGTCGAGCAGTGACTCATTAACTGCCACATCAATTGATCTCTTGTCTAGAATTTAGTTTCAAGCTTAATGATGGTGTAAAAATACGTATTAAGATATTTCAAAGTTTTTTATCATGATTTAAAATCACACTTGCGAAGAAAGCTACATAATGACTGCTACCAGTGTAACACTAATAAGTGTTCATGATAGTTTTCATAAAGACATTGTATTAAATTGTCTTGTCAATATTTCAATAATATCTGGATTTCTTTAACATTTGACCAAGGTTCCTGCTGTCATTCACCTGTGATGCCAAAAGTTCAGATGTTGAATTTTGTTTGTTTGAAAAGTTTTCCTTTTATATAAGCTTGATAATGAAGGATACTAATAGCTTATTTGTTCTGCTTTTATGTAAGAGTAGTGTGTTTTTCATCAAAGTACTTACAGTTGACTGACTGAGGTCTTTGAATGTCTTCACTTACAAATGTCATCTTACTGGTAAAAGTAAGGATGGTTATTAAGTGAAGACATTTCTAAAATATCTGATTTGACATTTGCGACTAGTATTATATAAAGGGCTTCTGTTTAAAGGTTGTGAGAATATTAAGACAATTTTATTTCCATGGTTTTTGTACTGTATTATATAAAATGAACATGACTGTAGCTTAAAGTTGGGCATATTTTGGTTCAATATGTCACATGTTGATTAAAGCAGCTTTTTGACTGGTTATGAAACAGGAATTAGCAGGTTGACTATTGGAATGTGGAGATGATCTTGACATTGCATGGGACATTATTATGAGAAAGAGTTGGCATACTTCAAATATCTCAGGGAGGCTTATTATTCATTTAGAATTTAAGGAAATAAATAGAGGATATTTGTTTAGTTCAGTGTAAGATTGTAATATATTTCACCGAGTGAGCACCAAAAGGTATATTTCACGAGTGGCGCAGCCACGAGTGATTTATGAACTTTTTGTATTCACGAGTCGATCTCACATTAAACTAAACAAATTTTCTTTTTATTATATGCAAAATAATGTTTAAAAAGACATTTTAACCTAGTACTACATGAAAAGGGCGCCAAATAATAATACAACGTGATGTCATTTACGACGTCACATCATTAAGTCGGTTTCCAGTACTGTGAACGCTTGTATTTCACTGAAACAAC